GACTTCTTTTTTAGTTTCTAACAAGGGCATGACTCCAAATCCACAAACACAGTCATGACTAGTATATCACAAAAGATCTTATTAACTTCATTTAATTTTATTGTTCGGTAAAACTGCTGTAGTAGACTCTACAGTACTTGTTTTCCACTGGTTGATTGCTATCATAGTCAGTTTACTCCTCTCAGAGTATTAAACGGGTCTGATAAGCTGCATTAATCGCTGGAGATCGTGGGTTGGTTTGTTGGTTTCTAGCAGGCTGTCCCAAATGCCACCTGTATCAGCCGGTGGATCACTTTTAGTGCTCCCATTGGTAGTCACACAGTGCTGGTCACACATCTGCATTAAGTTGCTTTGTTGCATTACCAATGGCCAATCTAATTAACTCACTCTTTACTGAAGAGTACTGCACCAACTCTTTCCACAAACCTTGGATGTTGTGGTAAAACAGAGCTAGGTTGAGTTAGCAGTAGAAAACAACATCTTCAGGAACTGTAGTCTGGCATTGTTTGCAAGAATAGCGTTTCTTGCCTGCTGCTGGAAGTCAAATGTTGTGGTGTTTGGGGACTAGCCACAGCAGTCAAATATCTGCGAATCAAGATAACAAGGTTTCCTACATCATGTCCTTCCATTTAAATTAATTTTACTGGGTTAAATTTCAACCCCAACCGCATTGGTGTCGCCTGTGTGATAAACAAACTGTGCCTTCTGTGGTCCAGGTCCTCCAATAACATACTGGCTTCGTCCACAGAGCGTCCACATATTTGCAGGGAGCTCCGCACAGGTCACCGAGGGTTTGCCATGCCCCAGTCAAAAGAGATTTTTTGAGAAACTCTGAAGAAAAAAGTTGATATTTACCAGACTGGAAATGGTTTCAAAAAAAGAGTTTAAGATCCACCAATCTACCAGGCAGATTGTACAAATGAAAGAAATTCAACACCACTGTCCAGGCCCCAGTGTACTCAAAGTGAAATTCAATAATGAACATATTTAAACGAACTTGATGTTGAATGAAATCCAGCCAAAATGAAGGTGATTTTGACCTTCAGGGTAACATTGATCGTTAAACACAACCTAATTGCCATTGGCAGATGGTGACTTAATAGGTGGGTGTAACCTGGGGCTCCATCTATAGGTGTTTTTAAACTTCTTCCAATTTTGGCACACTGCACTGTCTACCAGCTTCAGAGAAAAGAAAATCTAAGAAACTGGGATTGAATGTCTGCTCTTATTTTGCATTACAACCACACCTTACCATCCCCAGACTGATGGTTTGGTTGAATGTTTCAACCAAACCCTGAATAGCATGCTGAACAAATTTCTGACTGGGTCCAGTGGTTACCCTCAGGGATGGGCAGCTCTGGTGCTCGAGATCCACTTTCTTGCAGAGTTTAGCTCCAGTTCTCATCTCACCTGAGCAAGCTAATCACGGTCAGGATTCAGGATTGCTAGAAAGCTACATGCAGGTTTGCCTGTACAATCAGGGTTGGAGCTAAACTCTGTAGGGCCTTGGACCTCAAGGGCCTGAGTTGCCCACTCCTGCTTTACCTAGTGGTTGCTCCTATCCTCCTTACCTAGTGGGGCCCAAGGATAGTACATACAGTGTGGTCCAATATATAATCCAAATCAGAGACCATCTGGAAGAAATTACATCACTGGCCCAGGATCCCAGCACTCTCAGAAAACTTGGAATGAGTGCCAGGGAGGGATTCTTAGTGCCAAGTTCTGAAAACAAGTTGCTTTGTTGGCATAAACCCTACAAAGTAATGTGAAAGACTGGCAGCATCACCTGCAAGATCTCATTGCCGGAGCAGGGTAAGAAAGAGCAAAACTGCTATATTAACTTGCTGAAAAAATTCCACCCCAGGGCCGAGCCAACTCTTTGTGCCATTGGTAAGGAGTATGAACCAACAGGACAGCTTTTCTAAACTAGCTGCACACAACAAGTGCTGGATGTTTCCGGTCTGGAGCAACCTCAAGGAGACCAGGCAGAGCAGTTGAGCTGTCTCAGAAGAAACCTGGATTTTCTAATCTGGTGCTGAGGTAACCCCATCCCTCCAAACGAGCTATCGTATCCCCGAACATCTGATAAATGTGATTACAGATGAACTGGACATTATGCGCTCCATAGGTGTCATTAAAACATTCACCATGCTAGTCTCCGAAAGGATGGAGCACTTAGATTTTACATCGACTTGTGGAGCGGAGACTCTTCCAGCAAACGTTCTTTCCTGCAGACAGATGCCTCTGGAGTCAGTAGAAGGGGATTGCATATCGCTGGCATTCCTCAGCCGGATTTCCCTGAGAGACGTGATACTCTAGAAGAAGGGTTTGGCTAGAACATGGGCCCTGGATTCCCTCCATTTCTACCTTCTGGGGAGACCCTTTGTGCTAGAGACAGACTATCGACTACAGTGACTGGAATGCATGAAAGACTCCAATGCACAAATTACAGTCTCGCTCCCTTCAGCCCTACAGGTTCACTGTGAAATATTATCTTCTTTCTCAAATATTGTTAGAGGGGCCGAAGCGTGATCCCAGCTGTTGGTTGGGGTTGCTCTCTTGTTCCCCAATTCCCCTTTCTTTCAATACCCTTATTTGTTTAATAAAGACATACATGAATTTAAAAAATATTTTTTAACTTGATGTGGCACTGAAGTAGATGTTAGCTGGCACATTGGTGCCATAGCAGACACTGTGGTTGAACACACATACAGATAAACTGTTATGTCTCGGACTGGCCACCTGAGGGCCAAACCAACAGACATCACCCATATTGCTCATACATGGCGGCAGACATTTTACCTCTTAAAAGACCCGAAAGGACTTTTATCAATGTTCTTATACCCTTGCTGGAATAATGATAGAGGACGCCAAGTATGGTGGGAAGGCGAGGAGCTGTTTGTTTGTTATGGTGCTTATGCTTTTTTAAATTTAAGCAATTCTCTGTTTACCCAACGCGAGTATGATAGTTTATGGTATCATGGTATCATATCATATATTGTATGGTATCATATTAATCTGTTTAATGCTGCTAGTTAGTCTGCAACTAGCATTCGGTAAGATTAGTTATTATTGAAGAGTGCTGTTATTGAAGAATTGCAGTTCTTGTTTCCTTTGTTCGTTTGGTTTATTTCTGTAAATAATTGGAGTTTTGTATGTTGTATTGTATATTTATTTCCTTATTTTGTCACACTGTGCTGTCTGCTGGTTTGGGCTGGCAGTGTCATCCATTCTTTAAGCTGGGGGTTTCTGTTTCTCCATGACTCTTCCTCTGTGACACCTTAGCTTTATTCAGTTTCTCAAGAAGATTCCTTTGGTCAAGCCAGGAGCTGTAACCTTCAGTAACTGCCTTAGCCTTTATTTCCTCTTTTAGCCCATCTGTAATGTTAAAGCCTGCCACAGATCCAGTGGTCATATTATTCCTGTTCCAGCCACAAGGTCAAGGCTGGCACGGTCCAGTTAACCTGCGGGTAGATGCTGTAACTAAACCCTCTGGCTGCAAAAGTCATCATTCTCCACTGACAGCCAGGGGTGCGTTTCTCAAACGCAACTATGGTCGCAAGCTCCGTCGTTACCAATGGAGTTCAATGGAATTAACAACCATAGTTATCTAACAATGCTTTTTGGAAACACACCCCAGTTTGGTCAAGCAGCACAGAAACCTCAAATATGGAGGTGGAGTAATAACTTTTCTGGAGTTTGATGTCAGAACCCTTGACCCTTTACTGGAGGGGGTTCTGCTGAACACAAAAGAAGATATTTTGAAGAATGTGTGTAACCAAACAGTTGACAGTCCCCACTGACTTCCATAGTATGCAAAAAAAATACTGTGGCTTACTGAAAGAAAGTCAGAGGCTACCATCAACTGTTTGGTTACATTCTTCAAAATAACTTATTTTGTGTTCAGCAGAAGAAAGAAACTCATACAGGATTGGAACAACTTGATGGTGATTATGACAGAAATTTTATTTTTAGATGAACTATCTTTTTTAAGACAGTTTCCACTCGACTAAATGTATCACTGAAGCTGCTGGATTTAGGTTTACAGGTAACGTTTTTCCATAAATTACATCCAGGTCAGTTCATTACAACAGTGTACTGTATGTTCTTGGTTTTAATTTAATCGGGAATCGGAAAAGAAAACATTAAGTCAGTCTTTTATCTAGGTTTCTTAATCGGTGAAACTGACAGGCTTGCTGACTGAGGAGGGCAAAATCAGCAATAACAGCTGCTAAATGTGACCCCCACCATCTGAACTGAGTTGCTCATCGTCGGCTAGTGTGGCGAAACTAAATCAGTTCCAGTGGTAATATTTGTAAATATTATTTATCACTATACCCGTGTTTTAATCAAGGATCTCCTTAAATACACAGTTCGATTAACACTTTACCTACTAATGTCCACATCATATGTTAATTACAAAACAATTTCAATTACAATGTGTAATGAAAAAATAGGGTAACTCTTTGTTTTAAGGTGTCCTTGTTATACATGTACTTGGCATTAGCACACAATTATGCATAATTACATGCAATAACCCTAAACATAACCCTATAGTAAATACATGTTAATTAATATTACTGTATAATTACACTGTAACAAGGACACCTTAAAATAAAGTGTAACCAAAAAAAGGTATTACTCTTTTTTTAAATTATTTATTAGTTACAGGTAATACAATTACTATTTATTGCTCATTACTTACAAATACGCAGGAACACAGTAATGTGATCTTTATTTTTTAATCAGAGGAACGTATTATTCACCACATATACTGTATATGTACTATACAGAAGAACGAGATTTCACCCAAAGCTCTCCTTCCCCAAATGGTCTTATTGCACTAAAATTCAACTTTGACAAACACTTGTTATTTTGCATTGAGAATGTAATTAAGTCTGAACAATCTCTCGATTTAGCCGCCTGGCAGAGCAGATGAAGCGTCTGTTAATCATAATAAATCATAATAAAAGAGAAGGAGCTGGTCGCTAGTTGTTCTTTCAGTAGATCTGAATAGACTGAAGCTGCAGGATGAAACTCTATCAGAGAGAATCAGAGTAAAGTAACTGCTATCACAAAACTGCTTGGTTAATCATTCCCTCTAGACATGATAATAGGCAGTTTTGTGTGTCTATAAAAGCTTCATGGCAGGACTGGTGTGCTGCAGGCAGTTAGAAATGCGAGTGTCTTTATGTTTCGAACATTTATATTTTATGTTTTTGGGCTGATCCTAAGCATTGCTTAAATTCGCTCTTTGTGGTTTGTTTTTGCTGACTTTCAGAGACAATGGTTTTAATTGATTTGTCCTGCTTTGTTTCTTAATTTAGGTTAAAAGTCTTTAGCAAGCTATTTTGTACTATATATAGATAATAATCCATCTAAATGTTTTTTTCTCAGAACACTGGATATCTTCGGGTTGTTATTAATCACTAATGTCCTTATATTGCTTCTCGCGAGTTATGTGATTTAAGTATTCCTCTTTTTTTACTACATGTCTTTTCAATCAATGTTATGGTTGTTCTGTCTTATCAAGCGTCCCATCTTCCTTTGCCAAACAACCTTTGTGTTTGTTGTGACAGAATAATTACACAATATTACTCACATTACAAAGTGCAATGACTGTACATTATAACATACAGACTCTTTTGATGTTTATACCGATGGATTATGATTAAACATACAAATCATTTAAATTTTAAGTGCGATTTCAGGCAAAATATTGTCTTTTTATTGTCATAACAAGTAGGTTGCTACAGCTTTACACTGAACGAGCTGACTGAGCAAGAGATAAAGAAAACAAACAAAAAAAGAGTTCTTTAAATGTACAGAATTTTCCAAGTAATAATAGGCTAATGATTTAATAATGTCAAATGGGTTTCATATAGAGAGTATGAAGCACCAGAGTAAATGCCACATTATTGTTATAGTTATTGTAAAACGTTAAAGAGCGCGAGCAGCTGTTTTGATCTGGGCTGAACCTTCACAATATTGTTGTTAGTGTGACCCGGATTAGTTCGAATTTTCGCATTTTAAAAAGTAAATGTCGGATGTTGCAACATTTTACGTTACCCGGTGAAACATTGATAATTCAGTTATTGTTGGTTATTATATATATAATATCATAATAGGTGTTCCAAATACTTTAATGTTAAAATCTGGTCGTGTTTTCATTTAAAAATCATGCTTTTATTAAATTTCCACGATTTTTATGTAATACATTTTGAAATGTAAAAATAAGCCTAATTGAGAGCATATGATCATTAATGTTCTGCTTTTCTTAGTCCTGTCGTAAGGAGAACATTCTCTAACTCAGCTCTAATTGAGGAAGATAGGAAAGCCGAAGGGGCCAGAGTGTGGATTTCCTACGAGACTGATGAAGATTGATTTAGAATGAGTAATTAAACACGTTGAAGTGTCGTGCATTGTCTTCTTATCATAAGCGATTAGAATATCTACACAATGTGGCTTGACTTCATCTCAGTGATGGATTGATCAGAGAGGATGATGGGCATTTACTGACAATTTATTAGACCTTTTTTTTTTTTTTTTACTTCTTTTAGAAGGACAGTGTATAAAAAAATAAACATTTGCAAAAATCCGGCGATTTATTTCGTGCTTCTCTTTTGTGCGCTTTAGTTGTAGAATTCGTTATGCTAGCCTATTTAAATCTAATTCTAAAAAAAACTCCTTTAAATCCAACTGATCTAATCCTAACTAGAATTTACACAACATGCAGTATAAGAAAATGTAGCGTGATTCACTAGAATTTGTTTTAGAGGTCATTTGCAAAATATTTAATATTCGCAATGAGATGAGCACATTAGCTACATTTGTATGTGAATAGCTTACAATTTAAAATATCAGCGAGATATATTTTTACCACAAAACCCTGGACCAAAAAAAAGGCCAGGCCTTTGTTGGTCCAGTTGTTGTAGGTGTACGCGGGGTAGACTTCATCATACGGCTGCATTAGTCCGCTGAACTGGGGCAGGTAACTGTTCTTACACAAATCCATTTGCTGGTTGCGCTCCCTTTTTCTCCATTTCGCCCTCCGATTCTTGAACCAAACCTGTGGAAGAGGACGCGTTATTCACGCAAGCGCAACAAATGCTGTTAAAAGTTGACTCAAAGCAGTAGTCATAAACTTACGCAAAACTTTTTTTTTTCTTGCTGTAGAGGTCATTTGCAAAATATTTAATATTCGCAATGAGATGAGCACATTAGCTACATTTGTATGTGAATAGCTTACAATTTAAAATATCAGCACAGGTATATTTGTAGCAATAGCCAGCAATACATTGTATGGGTCACAATTATATATTTTTCTTTTATGCCAAAAATCATTAGGATATTAAGTAAAGATCATGTTCCATGAAGATATTTAGTACATTTCCTACCATAAATATATCAAAACTTAATGTTTGATTAGTAATATGCATTGCTAAGAACTTCATTTGAACAACTTTAAAGATGATTTTCTCAATATTTAGATTTTTTTGCACCCTCAGATTCCAGATTTTCAAATATTGTCCGATCCTAACAAACCATACATCAATGGAAAGATTATTTATTCAGCTTCCAGCTGATGCATACATCTCAATTTTAAAAAATTGACCCTTATGACTGGTTTTGTGCTCCAGGGTCACGCATAGGGTTTGAAAACAAATCAAAAAGCGCAATGCATGTATTTGTCTATAAATTTAACCAGCAGTAAAACATCAGTCATGTAGCGAATGTTTTACTAATGTGGATCAGAATATGTTTTTTGAATGCTGTCGAATTATTTAAAAGCCTGCAAGGAAATATATCTGAATATCGCTCAAAAAAGGCAATAATATAGGCCTACGTTTGCTTTCGTGGCCTGGAAGTAGAGCTTTTAACCCTTTAAAAAATAATGAGAAGCAATCCTTAGTCTAATTAAAAAAGGTTCTGTTTTCAAATTCATAACAGGATACGCACTGAACGAACAAATCAACAATTCACAAATTGAACACTTTTTACAACTGATAAAACTTGATTTAGTTAGCTCATTAAACAGGTTATTTTAATTTGCTAGTTAATCTGCACATTTGATCTTGTAAATATTCCACTGAAATAAGAGAGAAAATACTCTCCAGTCTTGGCCTGAAACGCATCCAAGGTTATTCTGTAGCTAAAACGTTAGATAACACTTTAATTTAAGGTGTCCTTGTTACACGTTACATGTACTTACTATTACATGCATGATGCAAGTAACCCTAAACCTAACCCTAAACATATAATAAGTACATGTAGTTAATTAATATTACTCAGTAGGCTTAAATGTATAATTGCACTGTAACAATGACACCTTAAAATAAAGTGTAACTAAATATTGTGCTTATTGTGCAAATGTTTCTGACTGCATTAGGGGGTTTAGGCTTCTCGTACCCGGACTCGGGCCTCCGTGAGGTTGGTCCACACTGCGATCTCGTCTCTGGTGCTCATGTCCGGGTACCGGTTCCTCTGGAAAGTGGCTTCCAGCTCCTGCAGCTGCTGGCTGGTGAAGTGAGTCCTCTGCCGCCTTTGTTTCTTTTTCTTGGACTCGTCGGCATTCCCATCGTCACTTCTCTGCTCGACAGACCTCTCCTTTTCTGGGGAGAATAATGTTGAGGTGATATGTGGTGCTCAGTCGCACCTATTTTTGCCAGAGATCTGGAAGGAGTCGGACTCAAACCGGGAGTCGGACAAAAGGGAATCACGATTCGTGTACACAGACTGTCGTGCTCGTCAAGCCATAAATATGCAAACACGTCTTATTAAAATATGTCTCTCAAACGGGACCTATTTGCACAATGCTCACGGCTGTATTATTTTAAATATCCAACATAGAAGTTAAAGGCCTATCCAGTGGAAAGAACTTTCGGCCGTGTTTTAAACTCAGGCCTAGTTCGTTGTTGTTTACGCATCTCGACTACTTTCATATAAAGATTTGCAGTTTATGCAACAGCGTCCTCCAGCTAATAAACGCGCATTTAATTGTAATATCATTTCTAGAACTCGGTTTGGTAGCGGTTATCGAGTTCTTTATAGGATCAAAACATCCAGCAGTTGAAATATTCTCTGTTTAGAAAGCAACAAATGCGTTAATAATACAGGCTAAGCGTGAATTTATTTTTAGTTTTTGCAATTGCAAAGCAGCAAGCTGCCAACGTGCAACAAGCGCTGCATGCACTGCTTCTGCAAAATTAGGCCGAAAAAACCCCCCCCGGCTAAACAAACAAATAAGTTATTTATATGTACTAAAACAAAAAATCGCAGGCATGGCAGATATGGCAGGAGACAATACTTTTAACATGTAAATGCATGCTTTTAGTCAAATAGGCTTGCTTGCATATACTTTCGGCATGTTAATGTTGTGCGGTTTATTCTATGGATGGGTATGTAAATATATGTCGCTTACCTGCTGTTTCATTATCTGAAGATTCGCAGCTCGAGTTCTCTAACGTTTCTCTGGTGCTGTTGCTTCTCGGCAGATGAAAAGATGAGGCCATGTCCAAATGTATTCCACCTTTAAAACAATCATGCGTGTTACAAAAGCTCTTCCAGCGCTGCGACGCAAGCGTCGGTATATTTGCTAAGCAATCCACTCCGCTTTTCTAACGAATAAACACGTGGACAGCCAGCGATCTCCAAACTACTGTAGATATATTCCTGAAGAGTGAGTGTGTGGTGTGAACGAGTGGAGGTGCAGCAGCAGCAAACAGCAGGACCCACCCATCCTCTCTTCCCCGCGTCCACTGTCAGTCCCACCCACAAAGCCCAATCATACATTAGACATACTTTTCCCTTCAGCACACAAGAGAATAAAAACCCTTGTGCTGTATTGTTTAGACTGTAGGACTACAGAGTAATTCCTGTCAGTATGTTTAGTGATTTGTGAGGATGTAACATTATTTATACATGCTTTCATTTGCATGAGCAGTTATGACATTGTAAAGCACATGACAGTACACACTGTTTATGGATAGTTGATCAAATTGAATCATGTTTTAAAAAATGCATATATTTTTAAAATTAATAAAACATTTTTTTTAATTAAATGATGTCTTCACTCTCATGCAGTGTTGTGAGCAAACCAGAGGCAACTGTGGGACACAAGAGAATAAAAACCCTTGTGCTGTATTGTTTAGACTGTAGGCCTACAGAGTAATTCCTGTCAGTATGTTTAGTGATTTGTGAGGATGTAACATTATTTATACATGCTTTCATTTGCATGAGCAGTTATGACATTGTAAAGCACATGACAGTACACACTGTTTATGGATAGTTGATCAAATTGAATCATGTTTTTAAAAAAAGCATATATTTTTATAATTAATAAAAATAAACTTTTTTATATTAAACTGGTAGTGGACGATGCATTAATGTAAAAAAATAAATAAACCAGCACGGATGAGCTGTGGAAACATCCGTTTGATTGTTTTATAGAGTAGAGATTGGTGTGCAATTGACTGAAGTACATTTGTCAACAAGGAAATCACAAACATTTTGCTTGAGGTCTGGACCCGAGCCTTTGTTTTGACATCAAGAGGTGACCAAATAATATGTTAAAGCCCCATGATTTCTTCAAACTGACATAGTTTGAGTGTAATGTAAGCTACATTAATATGTTGTGCAAGATATTTCACACACAAAGGCCTTTAGTCCTCAGTAACTGTCTTTTGTACTGCTTTTAGGTGCTGTTTTGACAAGGCTTGATGAGGAAAAACAGAAGAAAAACATCATCCGTGGGAGTTCAGCATTTTTACGCCATTGCTGCTCTCGATATTCTGGGCTCTTTATGTGTCCTGACAATAAGATTTATCGAGCAAACATTACCATTGTGAAAAATACATATTTAAACAAATTTTCGGACAAACAAAGAGACAAAGTAAACGCAAGGTGATGTCAGAGTGTGAGGACACACACCGGAGCCTTCGCTTCACGGCTTCTGAATGAGGGGAAGGTGAGGTCTTCGCCGGAGTCCTCACATGAGAAAAGCACACTGTCGAGAGAGACAGAAAGCTGCAAAGATGATTAAAAAGCTGTCAGGGTGTGTGCTAAAGACAGAGAGAGAGCTTCAGAAAGAAAAGAAAAACTGAACAAATACAGTAACACAGGAGTTTGAATGAGGAGACCCTTTTGTTACTGCTTCAATTCTAAATTGAAACAAATTTCAAAATAAACAATCATAATAATGCATTTTGCAGTTTGCAGATTAAAGGTTAGTGACTAGAGAGAATCACATCTGCAGTTTTCATGCAGCCAATCTTCATTTTTGTGGAATTTTCTGGTTTGTGTTCTTTGGTCTGATAATGATAAACTGTATTTGCAGCCCATCTCTCAGCTGATGTCCTCTGAGATCAGTCTGGAACATTTCAGACATCAAAAGAAATGAGAGGGAACAAAAAATTTACATGCCAAAGACAATAAGGTGAATCATTTCTAATGAGAAGAATAAGTCTTCCTCCTGTAGGCCACAAGCAAGCATACAATATATATATATATATGTATATCTCACACATACTTGCACGTATTCATATGAAACTCGGTACACATATAGATCTCATTGAGCCGAACAACTTTCACACTGCATGTCATAGGCTCTGTCCAACAGGAAGTTGGCTATTCAGGGCTGTTTAAAAAGTGCATGCTCTGGAATTTGATATACTCCTCTGAGAATTTCCAACCGATTGCCACCAAACTCGGTGAACATGATCTCAAGACATTGGGGATGCTAAATTGCGAAGGTATTTATATATATAAAAAGAAGGAACAATGGATATGTTTATAAAGCCTTTACATACTGCTGCATAAAAGTGCTGGTTATTTTATATCTTATACAGTATTGTATTTTATTGTGGCTGTTTCACAGGGCATCAACTGGATAGAAAGCCCGATGACAGCGAAATTTGGCAATAATGAAGAAGACTGGCCACTTGATGTAAATGTACCATCAACTATAGATAGTTGATTGTCTCTTACAGTTTAATCTTTACCAAAAATGATGAATGAAACAATGACCTGCTGATTTACATTTTCTGTACGGCAAGGCTGCATGTGCATTCCATCCTCTTCAGGGTGAAATCAGTCCAGAAATGCATTTTTGTCTCAAACACAATTTACTGCCAGGCCTAAGAATTCAACATGCTCCAGATCTGGGAAAAGCCCTCTCAAGCACCACAGTCAGGAACAACCCTGGCTTTTTTATCTAGATGGTCAGATAAAATGCTATCTGCCCCCATAAAGCTGTTCATGGCAGTCTTTAGCAGGAGGCACTTCAATGTCACTGCGGCTGGGGCTCTGATAAAGTTCAAGCCAAACACAGGCTAATTTAGAAGGCCAATAAAAGGCTGCCGCGATGCAGTACCTGGGAACGATCTGAACTCTTCCCTCGTTCCTGTCTGCGGGCTTCCAGGCACATGTGAATGAACGGCATGAACTCTGGCTATCCTCAGCGAGAATGGAAAGTGATGGTTCTCAGCAGAGCGAGACACGCATGTGTGCGACGGGGCAATCAAAGAAACGCTGTTTGCATGCACATCTCCTCAATCCACTACTCAAACACGAAGCATTTTGGTAGAAAAGCATGCATCTCTCGGTAAGTTTCCACTTTTTCACTGTTTGGCATGCAAAACGGACCACGATGTTGGCTAACCTGTTCATTTTCCTCCCAAAGATGCTGTTTTCTTAGGAGAGAAGCCCAAACATGATGGGCCTGTTTATTCGCAGAGAATACGCCTTTGTCTGGGCCTCCCAGGTAAGATAAAGGAGACAGACAGAGAGAGGGCATTAAGACGCTCCTTACAGGACCACCAGTGTTGCGTGCATGTGTGTCTGTGTGGCCAAGTTTGCCTGTGTGTTTGTTGCTGGGCGTGTTTGTGTACATATGCAAACATGTGTGACTAATTCAGGCAGCAGGACTTTGTATGGGATCGTTCTGTGAGCTAGGAGGTGTAGTAACTCGATCACTGTCACTTTAAACAGCACTGTCCTCAAAGCCGTGCCTGAGCCTCATGCAAAACCAACAGAGGAGCAGAGTATGATGGCACGTGAGCAACCGGAGGAGAGTCTGCAGGTACGAAAAATGAAAAACGAGAGCATTTTAAAAGGAAAACTTTGTACCTCAGTTACAGTTATTGCACGTTTTCTGACCAAGTATGAATGAGCCACCTTTGAGCGAACATGCCACACTTGACTGGGTATTGGATGCTAAATGAAAACACACAGCCCTCTTTGGAATATAATATAGTTTACTAAAGAGCCAAAATTCCATCAGTGTGACGCTGTCATGGGCCAAATAACTCCTGAAATAAATAAACATTGTCTTTCTGTTCTTACTACCGCTGCTAAAAATGATAACTCAGCAGCAAAAGAACTCAAATGGGTTTCTGATGTGAGTATCATGAAGCTGGAGCTGTTGACATTGCTGACACGCTGACTGCCTAAATGCAATGTTTTTCCTGGTTACACTCAAGGAAAATATTCAAATTCAACCAAAGGAAAATCGTTCTGCTACCTACATTTTTGCAAAACTTAAAAAATTTACCTGTACTTACAAATCACTGCAGTTTCCAGCTGAAATAAACAGATTTTTAAAATCAGTAAAGTCACTGTTTATTTTAAGGACCAATTCTCACTATTAACTAGTTGCTGATTAGCATGCATATTACTTGCATATTGGCTGTTTATTAGTAGGCTATAAAGCACATATTAAAGCCTTATTCGGCAGGACCATATTTCTAGATCCCCCAAACTTAACAACTACCGTACTATTAATAAGCAGCGATTTAGGTGTTTATTGAGACAAAAACCATAGTTAATAGTGAGAATTTGTCCTTAAAAAAATTAAGTGTTTCCATTAATAATTTGTATTGCAGTTCCTTGCACAATACTGTTATGAGCTCAAAACACGTTTACCATAGTGCATGATTTGTGATTTTGATGTCTGCATCACATAACTAGCTCCACATGTGGCTTTTCTGGCGTATGTAGTAAACTTGCTCTGTTGCTCACCTGGTACAGCGCTGGAGTCTCCTAATAACGTGAAAAAATAGTTCAAAGACTTCTAGAAGCAAGATAAAATGGCATGGTTGCTTCAGTTTTTTTTATCTCACCTTTGCTTTTGTTAACACTATAGGTTGGTTTAGGGTAGGGACTGTAGGGTTTAGTTTAGGCGGTTCGAACGCTATAGAGCATTAACATTTTAGTTTCATTTCTGAACTGCCGCGGTACATGCAACAGCAAACGAATTAAAACATGACCAGATTCATTTGTGCAAGAAGCAGTATCAGTTTACATAAATGTGGCCACAGGCATGTTTCTCCAACGAGCCTGGGGTTTAAAATCACAGAATGACATTCAGTGGGATTGTGCACTTCCAGTTTTGTGTGAGGAGTTTCCACAAGGCACTTTCCTGTTTGAACACGACGGTGGCCCCGGCACACAGAGAGGTCCATCCAGAAATGGTTTGGTGAGATGGGTGTGTGAGAACAGGCCTACACAGAGCCCTGACCTCAACCCCAGTGAACACCTCTGGAATGAACTGGAACGCCAGCTGACAGACGGACTGATTAGCCTGATCTCACTGATGTTACTAGGCCTGAACAGTAAATCCTCTCTGAGATCTGCTGGAAATCCTTCCTGAGGAGCAGGATGACTGGACAACCAATTTCAT